GGGGGGGGGGGGGGCCCGGCGCTGGTTATATTGTTGATCTCGGTTAAGGCAGGCACAATTGTTTGACCCTCCTGCCGAAGAGATGGTGTCAAGATACAGGGTTGTCTTTTCCGAGAAACAAGCCTTGGTAGCATTTAGGGATGTATTAGTCGTAGTGGTGGACACCAAATATTCAGATATATCAACGCTGTGAGCGATATGGTACTACCAACATCTACATTAGTAGCTGGGGGTTTCAACGTCGCGGTCATACGGGCCCTCAGCCTACATAGTACGATCGAGAAAGTAGATAAAGCAGAATTTGCAGCATTCCTTTCCGGAACAACTATGATGGGAACTAAGCCATCGATGTCATCCATTTCACTGGTCTGCCGTTCTACTATGCTGCTTCCTACTCACCATTATCAAATAAACCATCGTTGAGTTGGAACTACTAATCAAAGGCTCGGTATAAGTTGTGTTCCAGTAGGGTCCCTAGTCTGTTTCACGAAAATCGCATCATGAACTATGGAGGGATGTCTGAAGCAGTGGTAAAATTGTTCATTTGGTGGCCAATGGTTGTTGCATGAGTTGCCTCACCGAGACAACAAAGCTGCGGTCACCTGAGAGGAACTCGGGAGAGAGGGGGGCGGAAAAAAGAAAAAAGAAAAAAGTCACGACCACCTTGAGCCAGTGAGTGTGATCTGCTGACGCTGTGTGGCCCCCCCGGCGATCCGTAGTAACCAAGCAGCATGCATGCCTTTAGGCTGCCTGCCGACCGGGCCAAACTCTGAAAACGAGAGCCAAGGATCAGTGAATGAGGTAACCCACCTCATGATTGCAATGGCCCTAAAGAAGAGCCCTACATATTAATGATGTTTCATGATTCGTAGGAACAGTTAGCCATGGTATTATTGCCTGCCTCTCCTCCGCTGCTGCTGGCTGTCTCTGGTTGTTGGTGGGTATGGTATGTCGGAAAGGTATGCACAGTAGCAGGACGAGAGCGTATCTAGTAGAGCCTAATCCGAAGCATATGAACAACACTGCCTGCACCTAGATTCACAAAGTCATGGTTTGGTAGATCAATTGTCGTATCTTTTCTCAATAATCACCTGACCCCTTTACTGTAACCACTCTTGAGCTGGTGGATTCAACTAGGCCTCATTATAGACAATTATCGATTATTTTGTCGAGCCATAGCCCTTCCAGACTCTCAGCCTGCCACTTTCCGTGGTGCGCTTGGCCAAGCGCACAAATGCACACAGGAGGATTTCTTATGTGCATCAATCAGCCTGGCCCTTTTGAGGTACCATTTGAGTCGATGTGGGGCATTTCTAATATGATACTTGTTAGTGTGAATGCCAGGTATTGTATTTGTATTTCGAGTCCCGGAGTCGAGCATCAGCAGATAAATTCACATGTGGTATGTATGTTACTATTGAGTACCTAGCCCCAAGTACGTGCATGCTCAGCTTATATCCACACACACCAGCAAACTTCAATGGGATGTATAGACGGTCTGCAGTGTCACCGGAACTATAGCCCGCATATAAACTACCCATGTATGTTTGAAGCTAGATAAGTAGAGAAAACGAAAAAAAGAAGAAGAATGATGAATGAATGAACCCAGCGAATGTGCCTGGCCTCGAATTCGATTTGCAGGACAGCTACGATAGCTCGACTAGTACTCTACTCTCCTGCTTCTACATCCATTCTTCTCTTACAGCTCATGAACGCAAGAGCTGAATGTCATTATGATTGACATTTTCTTTTTACCCTTTTTCAACATGCAATATACACTCTGACCTCGTCTTTAATTCGACGACACGCCTGGATGAGTTCCGAGTGGCTTGCCCCAACGTTTCCGAGCATTAGATTTCTCAAGCCCTTCCCTGTCTCAGCTTGGTATGTGGCTGCAATTAATCTCTCATGTGGTCTGAATACTTGATGTAGATGAGGTGGCGAATAAGGAGATTATGGTTCAACAATGGCATGGTCTCAATTCTTAAGCAGAGCCTTTTCAAATGGTATTATCTGGGATCATGGTCTGCTGAGACTTACTGTCTGTAGTAGCTGATATGCTCGCAGGTCCGCGCAGCAAGGGATTTGCATAATCTCCGTGCCGGTTTTCTCCGTAGGTGTTCTTCCTCTTCTTGCGCCCCAAGGTTCAGTGACAGCTAAGCTACTATTGGCACAAGTCAGAAGACAAATGCAAGAGATGTCCAATCGTGTCCAATCGTGACATGCCTCCGTGAGTCTTATAAGCAACCTACTTAATTCCATGTTTCTGAAGAAGCAATCTGCAAGGATAGGGGAGGTAAGGGAGCTAGGAAACGGCACAGAGTATTTCTGTTATGTTGAGCCGATGAATGAAAATTCATGTACGTCGGACGGTCGTACACGATCGAGGTGCATGCATGCCAAGTCTAATGAAGAGGCATAGAACAGAGAAAGATGGAAAAGGGTGAATAGGGATAAGCAAATCTCCAAAAGGCGGAGGATTTGTCTCTTTGAGCTACCGGTGACAGCTAAACGTGTGAAACATGAGCTTCACATGATCGCCTTTACTATCAGGACTACAACGACCCTTGCTACTATATTAAGAAGCCTAACATTAGCTGCTCCTAGTACTAGATAATAATTAGTACGATATGCGCTTACCCTAGTCATTGTGGGGTTGGCTGTAGATAGTAGATACGTCGTCTCTCTGTTCTCATCCCGTGACTCTTCTGTTTCTGAGCTTGAGTGGATGATGTAAATTTGTGATATGTCATCCGCTTCCAATACGACAGATTTGTAACCCGACGAGAGTTTATTGCCGCTAAGCAACATGCCCATGCAAAGCTGAGCTTACAAGAGACCGTTCGGATGAATGCAGAGGGGGCGCAATTGCATCATGCGGTACGAACAGACACATTGAAGTACTTCTCGACGGAGTACTTCGTTTTTGTTGAGGGGTTGCAGGAAGTACGAATCTCAACGATGTAGTAGATATACTATGACTACTAATGCTCAACGGCTACAAGTATTGGTTGGTCAACTCAAGCGTGGACACGATGAGCTTGGGCCACGAATATGCACGTGGGCAAGGCATCGCCCAATGCATCCAGATCGTTTTTGCAGTATACTTTTACTTTTTCTACTCTGATAAACCAAGACTCTGAACACTACACATGCGTTATGCGCTCGCCTATTTTCGAACCTGGTCAGAGAAGATGCCCTTATGATCCCGCATTGAGATGGTGATTATTGCTACGTCATTGCAGTATTGGCATAGGACCCAAGCATCCTTTATTGCTGTACCTGTGGCGTCGGATATAACAGTCGCATGGTGAAATATTTTCTTATGGCCAGTCTTCCCGACGGGATTCCAAGCCGACCTCCAATCCAACTTCAGTAAGAGTAAAGAGTCAGAGTACATATGCAGCCGGTCCTGGTGGGCAGCCCGAAATACGTTGAAGTCTAGATCCTGGTCAGATATGCGGCGACCGAATACACACGCCTCCCTCCGCACTATTTTGCCTCAGCACTTAGTTAGTACGGAGTACTTAACCCAAGGTTTCCGTTCATTTTTCTTGGGTTGGGTGGCTTGATCTGTATTTACCATACGTATGCAATAGTACGGCTAGCCAATGAACGGGTTTCCAGTGAAAATCGCGGCTGGTCACTTGACACCCAGGGGCCAATGGCAGCACATGATGGCAGAACTACCCTGCCTGTCACCGGAACCGCCCAGTGGACCTTCCACCTCCCGACCTTCTTACTACTTACCTCTTACTGTCCATGTCTTGAAATCTTCATCGGGCTATGACATGGTTGGGAGGTACTAGTGATCCAGGCACCTTTTCTGTGGCTCGCCTTTGGCTTTCCCGATCGGCATTCGACGGGCCGCGGGAAGAAGTTATGAGATGGGTTGAAAGGCCTGGATCCCTCCAAAGTCTAGAGCTAGTTATAACTAGCTATTGAGCTCAGCGGAGATGTCTGAAGATACACTAGATACGCCCCTAAGGTCGATATGGGTTATTCTCCTTCCCAGGAGAGGGGGGGAAGATTGTTGAGGCGCGCGAGTCACCGAACACTAGAAGAGCGTTGGTTTCTCTTCCATCACTTACGTACAAACTCAGAAGTACCGCCGTGGTTGCTAGTTAGTTAGTTACGGAGATCTCCTGACCAACCCCTCCTTTCTCTACTGCAGGGACAAGGAAGAAATTGGTTTTGCTGGTCTTGTTCTAGCCCACCCCCTGTAAATGCGATGCCAGGAATGGTAGGAATCAAGGCCATTGATCCCGAGCGTGGTCTGCTTGCATTGGTGGAGGAGTTAACTACCCAACATAACTAACGGGAAACATTACTACTGCGATCCAAGGGTGTCTGGGAATGGAGATGCATCACGCCCCCCCATTTTAAGCACCACTAGCTAGATAATTACTGGACGACAATATCAATGTTAAATCTCGAACCCAGGCGTTCGGAGCCAAGGTCATATGCCCATTAGGAATGGGCCCTCATTCTCTCAATCCCAGCAGCAGCTGTCTACCTTACGCCCAATCTGGATGGTTCCACCTTAAAGTCCGTCATCATTATTTTCGACCTACTGATCTGCTCAAGTTACAACTCTACCTTCAGATGTAACCTGATTGATGGTATTTATGTTTTATCTACACTTCTGAGCCTACCGTTCCGTTTCATATTCGGTCTAGGAATGACGCCAGCCGCGGACCCAAAAATGTCTCCTTTTTCTTTCTTGATGCGGGACAGATACCAATCGATGTTTTTTTCCTATCCCGATTGACAGGAGGGGGTGTTGGTTGGTGAGGAGCGGTGCAAAACAGTTTTTCTGTACAGAAGCTAGGATATAAAAAGTAATTACGGAGTATCATATGTAGAAAACCCTCATCAACCGTGTATATAGTGACATATCTTAGCGGCATCGTCTGAGATGGGCAGAAGTAGCACCGCCGCCTATCTACTAGCGGTACCCAGGTACCTTGCTTCCGGTAAGGGCAATAGCGTCATAGCAAGACGCAGAGACCTGGGGCAGAGAGAGCGGCCGATCCGGTATTGTATGGTATCAGTACATACGTATACTGACTCTTTATTTCCAATCACTACGCCGCGCTCTCTCTTTTCTCTCTCTCTCTTTTCCCTTTTCCATTTTCTTTCATTCTAGCTATTTAATTTTCTTGCCCCTCCGGGGCCGAGCCCACAATATACCCTCATGCCTATGGAGTTTCATCATTAGCTACCAGTTGCCGTAATGAGATGGGATAATAAAAATAAGATAATTAATATTAGAATCAGTTCAAATTAAAATAAAAGAAAAAGGAAATGGAGTAAAGTGCTAAGATACCCATAGCTTTATATGGGGTACTCTTAACTAGGCTGGTGGGCTATAGGTATAAGTGGTCTCCTTATAATTAGTCCAACTGGGGGGCTTTTTATTATTCGAACGGGAATAACGATCTTTTCTCGAGGACGAACGCTACTGTGTAGAGAATGGTTATTCTTATGCCGGCGGCCATAAACAGCAATCCCTCAGGTTCTCTGTACCAATAATTCCAACCGCCATCATCCACATCTCTGTTGCCTCTCCACACTCTGCCATAGCTCCGTGCTCATCGGTTGTTACCCAGGCTTTCATCCGGGAAAGGTAAAGTTACTGCTACTGCTGCTGTAAGTTGAACCACTCCCGCCCCCTCCCCCCTCCTCCTCCTCCCCCAAGCCAAACCCAAACGTTGCCTTCTGGGGCCTAACGGACTAGTAACAGACAGGGAGAGAACAGTAACAACTTAACCACATATTGAGACAGGCCGGTTTTCGATCGGGTGCTAGTAATCTTCTCCCTCCTTTTGGTATTGGTTTCTTCCAAAGAGTCAGAAAAGCGCCCGTGTGCTCCTGATTCATCGATTTCATTATTAGCATTATTACTTTTCGAAAGTCCCTCTCTATTTCCCCCCCTTTACCCTTTTTTATTTTTCTACTGTCCTCCCTGGTCAACTACGTCCATTACTATTCTTACTGATATCTCTTATTTGCCCGGAGTTGGCTCGTGTGTTCCTTGCCTTCTTCCTCTCCTCCCGGTGCTTTATTCCCGCGTTCCTGCAGCCCTCGCGTGTTCGGGCTTCGTCGTTCCATCAACGTCACCTGCTCAAGTCTCTCCTCTCTTACTATTCTCTCTTCCCTCTTCCTTCTCCTCCGACCGACCATCCCTCCCTTTTGAGAGCCTGAGCTTTCTCTTACCTACACTTACTTATTTTACCCGCCTTTCCTTGAAATTCTACTGCCACACTTTTGCTGAGGCGTGAAATTCAATACCTACCCTTTACAATCCTCCTCCCTCCTCGAATCAGCTGCGGTTCGGTACTCTTAAACTACTAAACTGCTACTTGCTACTGCTGCTGTTTCTTCTCACACATAACTTCACTTTTTCCTCTTTTCCTTTTTCCTTTTTCTTTTTCTTTTCCTTTTTATTTATTTTTCTCTTCGAGAAACATTTGTCCCCTCTTCTATCCAAACCCTCCTCCCCTCCACCACCCACCGCCCCCCCTCCCTCCCTCATCTAGGAAACCCGCTTCAATCTTTGGGGCGTTCATTGCTCAGGTCTTGTGTCTGCAACTCTTGGCACGCTCCCCAAGTCCATTGGTCCCCTTGGTCTGAGCCTTCCCTTCTACGATTCGCCCGCCTGCTTCTCAACCTTTCATCTCACGCGCACCTCCACTCAACATCCACCGTTCGGATATTCCGCC